TGTGATGTGGCGAGCTGCCAGACTCCTTGCAAAAGCAGGGCTGGCAATGTGTGTTCTCTTTTGCAGAGCAAAGCCCAGATCTGAGCTGGCAAATGCCTGATTCACAGACTTTGAGTGTGTTGACCAAAAAGGAGCTATAAGAAATTGCTTGCTGTAATCTAAACTGAGCTGAAAAGCTGTTCTGATGCCTATTTGACTGTTTTCCATAGCCAGATTTTTAAATTTCTTCTGTTATTAATTCACTGTCCTTAAATATTCCTTTAATTTTCTTCATTGCCATTGAAAAAAAAAATTGATCTCATGACTTAAAAATATAACAGGTAAAATAAAAATTTAAAGGCTTCTGATATTTTTTATGAATATAAGTTTGTTTAATAAGTATGAAGGCTGCGTGAGAAGGAAATATAATGCCAGGGCAGCTGCATCTCCTTTTTCTCTACTGATGTCTTTTCTTCTATAGCAGTTGCTGAAAGCTGGAGATCCTGCTTGTCCCAACTCCCTCCCCTCTGCTTGCATCTTTCAGCAGCTACCAAAGCTATCCCATCATCCCACCACCTCCTTTCAGTGGATTTCTCTCATGCCTCCTCCTTTTTCAAACTGCATCAAACTTAAACCTACCATCTGCATTCTTTATTATGTTCCCTTTCTGTTGTCACACTCTGTTGCATTCCCTCCATTCTGCTCATGGTGGCACATTCAGTACCTAATTTTGCTGCTTTAATTTTTGTTTATACCAGATGCTACCCAGAGGCACCTTTTTGCTCAGGTTCTATGTGATACAAACTTCAGTTGTACATGGGAATTCCCCCTTAAAAATTAGATTGGGGGGGAGGGGGGGAAATGTCACTTTTTTGGCAGGCCCTTAAGGCATTGTGAGCTTCAGTTGTGTTTCTGACAAAGCAAATCAGTTTGCTGTACTAAACACCCCTTGTTGCCAATATCCCCAGGCTGGATTTATCTGTGGGAGCAGGAGCAGAGAACAGGGCTGGAGGGAGGCAGCCCTGCAAAGCCAAGGTGCTCTGGGAATTGCCACTGGCTCTGTCTGTCTGTCTGTCTGTCTGTCTGTGTGAACCTCTGCGAGGTTAAACACTGACTGTGTTTTTGAGGCAGCCTGAAGAATTTTGGCACCCAGTCCCTTCTAAATCCCCAAAGTGCTGACAGTCCTTTGGCAGTCAGGATTAACTATTGTGGTTGTTAATATCCACAGGGGATGGAACGAGGAGGAGAGGAGAGGAGAGGAGAGGAGAGGAGAGGAGAGGAGGAGAGGATTCTCTGCTCAGAATCAGGGCTCCTGCTGCAGCTGCTGAAGTGCCAGGGGGAGTCATTTCATGAGATGAGAGGGGTGAAGCTTTCCTGTTGCATGAAGGTTGGCAAGGCAGCTTCTGGTAAAGGTTTCCAGAGAGAGGGAGAGATCCAGAGGCAAGAGGAAGGTGTCAAACTGATTATTGGTGGGCTTGAGGCCCAGGATGTACATGGGGGAGTTCAGACAGCTGGAAGTGACCCACACTGCCAGGTGACCTTCCTCCCCTCCAGCACAGCAGTGGTGGGGATGTGACAATGTCTGGCAGAATTGAGCCATGCCCCTGCTGTGGATCCACCTGCACAGGCTCCTGCACTGAGAAACAGAGCCCAGAGAAACCCCAGACCCACTTAGACCCCAAAGAAACCCCAAACCCACTGAGAAACAGAGCCCAGAGAAACCCCAAACCCACTTAGACCCCAGAGAAACCCCAAACCCACTGAGAAATGGCCAGACCCCGGCCTAGAAGCTTCTTCCCCTTGGTGGAACATTGTTTATCAGCTCTGAAATTTGCAGTAGAGGACAAAGGTGATGGAAAACACCTCTTCCCTCTCCTACCACCATTTCCGAACAGTTCTGGTCCCCTCTGGGACTGGGGCCTGTTTGTTACAAGCTGGGAAGGGACTCTGTGACCTGATGGCCAGAGAACCCATGCTTCAGCCATCCTCTCCATGAATTAAAAACAAAAAACCCACAAGAAATGTGGTTACAACCCAGGGAGGAAACTATTCTAACAAAGCAAGCCTTGAGCAGGAAAACACACATCTTGCAGGTCACCCAGCATATGTAGAATAAAACATCAGCTCCTGCTCATCGGATTTGGGGTGAGAAACCACTGGGGCTAAAAACATTAGGAATGGGTTATAAATTATAAATTATAAATTAAAAGGCGAAGATATAAATTAAAAGACAAAGATATAAATTAAAAGGCAATAAATTAAAAGGCAAAGAAAAATAAAGAGAATATGAAGATACATAAAGATACATAGAGATAATAAAGATAATATAAAGTATTAAAAGATAATATTAAAATATTAAAGATAATATAAAATATTAAATATAAAATAAAGAAAAAATAAATGCTTTATTCCAGAGTTAATTTAACCATGTTTAGATTGGGGTGTCCCAAAGGACACTTAGCCTCCTATTTCTCACTGGCTGTCATTTTGAAAGGGTGAAAGAGAGGGACAGCAAAGAAGGAACTTCACCTCGAAGGATCTCCCATGCTAAGGCTGAATGTTTTTCCAACATTGAACTTTTCAGCCTGTTTTGTGGGCTCCAGTGAGTGAATCACAATTGCTGTGCCTCAGGCTAGGGGGGCTCAGCGGCTGGGTCACGGCAGAGCAGAGGGACTGATACATCAGGAGCAAAATCAGAGCTGGTCAGCCTGGAGTGCTGCAGCAGAGCAGCACCATTAAACAGCTGCCAATTCACTCCCTCTGATGCTCTCCCATTTTACTGCATTAGTTATGGTTCCTCACCACCACCTCTCTTGACCCAAGGGAATTTTCGTAAGAAAAATCCCTCTGTTTGAATTTCATGTGTTGTGAATCTCCTCAGAATCTATCAGGGGTTAGTTCTACGTTTGACTGACTTGCTTGAAACAAAAATAGTTCTGGGAAATTAAGAACCTTCTTTGAAAAGCTCTTGTGAGCAAATGGTGCCTCATGGTAGGAAAGGAATGAAGCTTTCATGCCAGCTTTGATGCCAGGAGAAAGCAGCCCTCACTTTTCAGGGTTCAAACTGCTAGTTCCAAAACCAGTAATGGCTGTAAATAGAAAGGTTAATCAGTTCTTGGGAAAACTGAGGCTGTCTTAACCCACACCATGTTTCATTTACCTAAAGAAACAACCTTCCCACCAGTCAAGACTGCTGGAGGATCTGGAGAGAGAGGCATTTATCAAACCAGAGACTGGAACAGCTCAGAAATGCTTTAAAAATCAAGTAGCAATTGGTGTCAGTAGATCTGCAGTAGATGCTCTGAGTGCACTTCCCAGCTCATTTCTGGCATGTGCTACCCTGTCCCTGGAGCTAGAGATGTCTGCAAGTGTTTTGTGTGTGTGGAGCCCAGTTAATGTGCTCATTAACTTCCACAAACTGCAGTTTTACACTTCCCAGCAATCCTGCACGGGTTTCTGCTATCCCACAGATAGGAGAACTTGCATTTCCTTATGTTTTGCTTTAAAATAGCTTGGCAAGAAGTGATCATATATTAAAGCCTGACAGTGTTGGATCACTTGAGGACAGAATAAAGAGGCCAAAAATCAGTGATGTTCACAGTCGATTTCTCTATTGGTTCAACAAGCAGTTTGGTTTCGTTTGTTTCTACATTTGACAGATTGTGAAGTTCCTGTCTCACTGTTTATAGGGCAAATAAAGAGCTCAGTACTATTTGAGTGTGTTGAAATATCTGTGCTACAAAAGATTTTCAAGAGTTTACCGTGGAAATATCTGGAAGTAGTCTATAAATCACATCATTGCATTTCTCCTTTCCTTTGGTTTTACATATGAATCGGAAATAGAAACTTGTTTCTTGTGTCTCTGTGTCCTGTAAATGCCAGAAACAGTGTCATCATGCCAGAAAAAAAAAAAATTAAAAATTTTAAAAGATGCTGTAATATTAATTAACTGGCATTTTAAAATATTTTGTTTTTAAGAAAGAAGAAAATTATTTTAATCTTATACAATTTTTGTTTTTTCCACAGATTTCCCAATCTGCTACAGCTGAGTTAATTTCCACCATGGATGCCACCAGAATGTTGGAATAAGGAGACTTCTAGCACACTCCCCATCTTGATAAGGCACCTGAAGTCACATTGCAGATGCACACTGCCTGTGCCACCAGGCTCTGCATCCTCTTCCCCTGCCCTGGCCATGGCTTCTTGTCAGCCCTGATGTGCTGTAGGTGACTTTGGACCTCCCTCACCACTCTGGACTTGGGTGATGCTCGTGGGACTCCTGGCTGAGCCTTGTTTCCAGCACCCAGCCCACTCTGCCCTCCTTGCCTGGGCACCCCAGGGCTGTGCCAGGCTGGGGAGGGCACTGCCCTGCTGCTCATCTTTGCAGATCAACCACTGACACCCAGTAAGATTCTGTAATTATACTCAGATTAGTATTTTGTCAAGAAATTCTCAAATGTTTTTTAAGTATTGCTCTGTGCATAAAATCCATATCAGAAAGAAGTGGTAAATCGAGCATTTCAGCCCAGAAAGGAGATGGTTTTGTTTTCAACAGCATACATGTCAGTGCATGCCAGGGTAGTGGTGCCTTTATGGGCTACCTAAAAACAGAGGCCAGACAAAATCAAGGGAATAAAAAGCAGCTCTGTTTATTGAAGGGCCTTCAGGTACATTTAGGGCAGACAAAGCCCCCCAGGGGCTGCACCCAGAATTGGATGATGGGTCACAGGTTTTCACACTTTTATCAGTTTGGTCCATTTGCACATTGGGGGTTCATCTTCCAATTCCAGCTTCAGGGAATGAACTCGTTTACCCCAAGTTTGCTGCCCCAACTCCCTTTTGTTTCCATCTCTCAGCCTGAGGCAGTGAGGTGTCCTTGATTGCCAGGCCTGGAGAGGAATTGCTGTGTCTGAGCAAAATGGGAAAGCAGCAGCTCACACTGTGTGTGGAGTTTGGAGTTACACACTAAAGAACTGCAGGATTACAGATACATGAAAAATATAAAAGCTAAAATCCTAAGGCATCAGTAGCCAGCCTCAACCTACACTGCTTGTTGCTCTCCTCTGCCTTTGGAGCTGGCTGCAGTGGGCACAGAGCTGAGTTCAGGCTGCTGGCTTGAGCACAGGGGTCCTGCCCTGCCAGACTCTGCTCTGCACCCAGGGCAGGACTTCAGTCCCTGCTGCTCCAGGAGAGCCTTTGGGGGACTTCTGCTCCTCAAACCCTTGCCAGACAAGGAGGTGTAGAGGTATTAGGGAGATTTTTGACCAAAAGTGGTCAAAGAAATGTATCATTCTGGCTGTTTGTGCTTATTGTTTGTACTTGTGTGGAACATCTAAGGAAACCAAGCTTTGCTTCCGCCCTTCACATTCCTGAACAGCAAGAAACACCCACACCAAGGTAAGTGACATTCAGAGTCAGGCTCCTTCTGGATAGCTTTTCAAAGCTGGTGGGCTAATCTTGTAATCCAAACAAAAATCAAAGTAAAAATCCCCTTTTTGCAATTGCTTATCTGAAATACTCAGCCAAAACACTCTTCTATCAACTTCAGCAAGGGGTTAAATGGTCTTCAAAGGCGTTTCAGTTTTTAGATCAAGGTGGGTTTGGTTCTGTGAATGAGATAAACTTGCAGCTACAGGCAAGTCAAAGACTTTGTTAAAGCAGGAAATAGTCCTTTTAGTTCCACATGCAAAGGCACCTTTTGATGTGGCTGCTGAATTGTGTTCATCAGAAGTAAAGGCTAATCTTCCCCTTGACATTTACCGAGTTGGTTGATTACTTCTCTTCTGAGCCATCCATGTGGAGCATTGCAGGATTTTATAAATTATTTCCTGGAAATGCTTAATATTAAGAGGTTTTTCTAATTCCTAATTTAAGCTTTGCACAATCATTAAAAAAAAAAAATTAAAATAAAAAGTCAAAACCTGACAGAGCTCACTGTGAGGGAAAAATAAATACTGATGAGACAAAACATTTTACCTGCAGTGTCCAGAATTTCCTTGACTGTCATAAAACTACTTCCTGTGATTAAGTGAAGGGTAATGTGGCAGGAGGATGAGCTGCAGGGCTATGTGGTGGCATTACTGCAAATCTTGCACCTAATCAAGGGCAATCACCATGTATCCTCTGCTGAAAAAAAAACCCCTTTTCATTTCCTCTATGGCAATTTATCTGATTTCTTTTTTTAAATTGTTAATTAAGTGTATCTGAATTTTTTTTAATTGTTGTGGAAGTACTCTATGAGAGGAGGGCCTGTGGAAAGGAAATAGTTATTAGGGTATATATAGTTAAATATCTATTCATATATATGTTTTATACTGAAATAACAGCAGGAGATAACAGACACATGAGAGGTCAGAGTCCCACCAGACAGACTGAACAGGAAGCAGTTATTGTCCCACGGGGTTGACAACTCTTTGAAGACAGAAAAAAGAATAATTTCTGTCCCTGTTTTTAGGGAAATTGATGAAAAGCAAACATAAACATTCTAATTTCTTTATTATACAGATCTATATGGGCCTTGAAAAGGGATCAAAATTTCAAATGAATTCTTTCCTTTTAAAAATCTGGACATAAGCATTGTACTGCAAGTATTATATTCAAAGATTTCCTTTAAATCTGTGTCCAAATTCAATGTCAGCCAGGCTCTGTAGGGCAGCAAACAAGCATCCCATCCCATCCCACTGATCCCATCCCATCCCACTGATCCCATCCCATCCTATCCCACTGATCCCATCCCATCCCACTGATCCCATCCCATCCCACTGATCCCATCCCATCCCATCCCATCTGTCCAGTGGTGCTGCTGTGATCCAGAAATGGGCAGCTAAGAGCACCTCTGGGTCTTTGTGTCCAGCCCTCTCCCACTGCCATCCATCCCTCCAATCCCACCTAGAAATTTAAAACTGGATAGATCCCTAGTGGCAAAGCTGTCACCACCTTCTCTCCCCTCTGTGATGCCCAAGGAGGTGGTTCAGAGAAAAATCTATGGTTTATTCACAATTACTTGTTCTCTGTCAGTGTTGTCAGATTCTTCTCCTTCCCTTGTGTTTGCCCTTCTCTTTCCCAGTGCCTCTTTGGATTTCCTGGCAGCAAGCTGAGTTGTGGCTTTTTGAGGCTGCAGGAGGCTGATTTACACATTCTCCCATCAGCTCACCTCTCCCCAGCCCGTGGGATGCTGAGGGCCCTGCTCCACAGCTCTTGCAGGTGGAATAACTCATTGCCCAGGTGGGAGATCCAAGGTCAGTTCCCTTCTGAATCTGAGCAGTTATTTCACAAAACACACAGACCAAACCATAAGGTATTCTGACCTGGTTATGTTTTCAGTCCCTTGTAGCTACTGTTAGACTCAGTAGAAGAACTCAAAAGTTGAAATGGAGTGGGAGTGGAGTGGCCCTATCCCACAGCAGTGCCCTAAGTCTCCAGCACCAGGCTAGGAAAATCATTCCCTTTCCTCCCCTGTGTCAGTGCTACCATAACTGAGGAGAGCCTCACCTCTCCCCCCTGCAAGGCACAAATCTGGGGCTGTCCAAGGAAATTCCTGGTATGTGTTCTTTTCCCTGGAGCAGAAGCAGGAGCTGAACTCAGTTCTCCCTGTTCCAAGGGAAAGACAGGTGCTGCATCAAAGTAAACAGCTTTTTCTCAGTTTGATGACAAAAAGGAATAACTGCAGATGAGTGGCTGCACTGAACAGCTTCAGATCAGCCTGGACTGGGTTTTGTTTAAGGTCATTAGGCCTGATGCACTGAGGACTGAAAAGGTAGGAAAGAGTGCCCAGCTCTGCTTCCCTGGCTCTTTGTGTAACTTTTTAAAAATTCTTTATGTTTCTTTTTTCTCTTCTGATTCTGCTGTGCTTCTTCTGCACTTCTCTTTACTCCTGGATTTCTCAGCTTCTCTGAGCTGAGCTCCTTGGGGATATTCCCTCACAGGGAGTCCTGCTTATCTCAGTCCTCTGGGTCAGGACACAAACTCCAAAGCTCGTTAGGATCTTGTTTCTCCTGTTTGTTAGGATGTTATCACAAAACTTGGCAGGTCTCTCCAGACTTTCTGCACAAGTTTAATTCACTGCAACCTGGCACATTTTGTTCTGATGGCACAAAATGGCCTTGTGGCTCACTTTGTGGCTCACTTTGTGGTTCACTTTGGCTTTGAAAGCTCAATATGGCCCCAAACCATGCAGTTCTTTTATCTTTATACTCATTCTTATCCAATTAACAGTAGACACGTATATTATTTTTCCTAATGACCCAACGACCCATCACCTGTGTGCTGCATTGCAGCATTTTCTATCCAATCACTACTACCAAAAAACCTCTAGAAGAAGAACATGAAGAAGAAAGAAGGAAAAGAGACAACACCCTAAATCCTCCACTTTGTCTTCAGCTTTCTATACTAGCTTAAACTCTAAACTTTAACTTTTTCACCCAGTGACTTAAGAAAACTCTCTACACACTCACACTTTTAGCTTTTCTGTCTAACAGTTGTTTTCATGTAACACTATGAAAAAAATTCCCATTCATGTTGTATGAAATTCAGTGTTCTCCTGGATCTCAGAGCCAGGCACCAGAGACAAGGGCACACACTCTGTGTCTCAGACTCCAGCACTTTGTCCCCTCAGCCGCAGGGGAAGAGTGACTTTCTGCTGATTTGGAGGCTGCTCCATCCCATGAAGTACAGATGAGAGGGTGTGCACAAAGCTGGAGCACAGGGACACTGCAGCTGCTTCAGGGCCTGCAGTGGCTTTGATGCCTTAGGATTTAGCTTTCCTGTTTTTCAGATCCTGCACTGCTTTGTGTATAACTTTAAAGCTCCATGGCCTGTCAGCTGCTGTTCTCCCATTTTATTCAGATAAAACTATTCCTCTCCAGGCCTGAGAGCCAAGGACACCCCACAGCCTCAGGCCCTGAAAGAATAAAAAAAAGTGAATTGGGGGAGCAAACTGGGGGTAAATGACTTCATTAGCTGAAGCTGGAATTGGAGCATTAACCCCTGAGATGGAAATGGACCAAACTTGTAATTGTGTGAGAAACTTGTGACCATCTTCCAGCTTGGGTGCAGCCTCTGGGAGGTTTCTGACTGCCCAAGGTGTGCCTGTTGAAGGCCTTCAATAAATCCCCATTTTATTCTCTAAATCTTGTCTGGCCTCTGTTCCAGGGAGCCACTCCAAGGCATCAGCTGAGCCAACTCCAGTGGCTGAAGGTTTCTGATTCCAGGGCCTTCCTGCAGTGTGCACACCTTCCTGCTGCCACACAAAGCAGTTCCATAATGACCATTTTCATTATTTTCATAGATTTTTCATTTTGGTTGGTGAGCAGGGCACAAGATTTTGAAACAGTATTCCTCTTTTTAGGTTTTGTAATACATTTCCCACAAAATTAGCTCCAGAGAAGCAATAGCACGAGGTCAGTTAATCTTGTTATATGAATATTACACTTGGTAATGATCTGAACTTGAAAAAATATCTGCTTCCCATTTCAGAAACGAGACAGCTCAATTCCTTCCTATGTTTCATTTGTTTTAAGGCAGAGAATGGAAGTGGTATCAATTTTTCTGCCACCATATTAAACCATGTTTTTATTAACAAGTGATTGCATTGAGTCTTGGAAAGTATCAGCAGCAAAACATACTTCTGGAAAGCTGAAAAATGTATTTGAGAGTCCTTTAAATAAAGATTGTAAAATTGCTCTAGCAGGATATTTCCCTTCCTTGAGCATAAGATGGGAGAATTTTATATAGGTTATGCAGCTGAGAGCTATTTTATATCTCATTTTGAACTCAAGTAATCTATGAAGTGAATGCTCATCTAGGTGAAAAGACACCCTGTCCTTTTTTTTTTTTTTTCCTAGACAAAACAAGCACAAAATACCTGAATGTTTTACAATTTCTAGTAAAAGTCAGAGGGAAGTCCACATTTGAGTTATGTGTCTAATCATTTTATTTCCAGTTTTGGACTAGTATGGATCAGCAGGGAAGGGGAGAGGTTGATGTTTCCTGTGGTAATTTTCCCAGGACCATCTCCTGTGTGGATGTAATTATGCCCACATAAAGGAGCCAGTGGGTTGGAAAAAGAATCATTGATATGTGAGACTGAAATGTGATTAAATGAAGCAACATCTGCCTTGTCAGAGAGAGCAGTGAGAAGAGACTTTATTGCACTGTGTGGTGAAAGAAGGGAGAAAACCGTGAGCTGCTGACACCTCTGGTCTTGCAAAGAAGAGCAGAGCAGAAGGAATGGTTGGAAAGTCAGGTAAGATCCAGTAGAAACGGGGTTTTTGAGCGAGTGACTGGGACAATCTGCTGAGGGATGCTGTGTATTCTGCATCTCTGAAGGAGGCTGTACCTCTGAACTCTGGTGCCTTTGTGAAGGACACAGAAGAAGGTCCTGAGCTCTGAGGGTTCCCTCTCAAGTGTAACCCAGCAGAGCTGCCATTCCTGCAGCTGTGAGTTCATGAGCTGTGCTGGCAGCTGTGCTACCAAAGCGCAGTGACAGGATTGTGGCTGTAGCAGCTGGAAGTCAGGTCTTTGCAGAAGGTGTTAAAATAGGGAGCTGGGACCAGGTGAGCCCTGTGTGGTCCCTTCCAACCTGACTCAAGAATCACTTGGTGATTCTGTAGCATCTCAGATTTTCAGGAGGCCCCTTTAGATCACATGGCAGAACATCAAGCAATATCTGAAACAGTACTCTTTTTTCTAAGTTTTTTTAACCATACATTTTAATAATACAAGTAAGACTTTCCTGGGAGAGGGAGCCAAAAAAAAAGGAGGTTGAGCTACAGTAATGGTGTTTGTGGACCATGCTGAAAGTTCTCTTCAGTGAAAACTGGTGGGCAGGGATAGGGATGGGGCACAGCCAGTGGTGTGCCACGGGGTCAGGGAAGCCTTCCAGCTCAATTTAGCAAATCCAGCAGCTTGGAAAAGCAAGCCCAAGTCATTTGGTGGCATCATTTCAAGCTAGCAGCGAGTGCAGGGTGGCTGTGAAGGGAGCAGAGCTCTGATACCTGTCCTGTTACTGATACTGAGACTGCAGGCACTGGGCAGGCTTTTCCCCACTGCTTGGCAATGTCTCAAAATGTCTCAAAGCCTCAAGCTGGGGGTGGACACCCAAAACACCTGTCCTTCTACTGTTCTTTCAGCAATCTAACTTCTTGTAGAGATCTCTCTGAATAGATCCAGGGACAGACAGAGTGCCTGCCCCTCTGAATCTTAGTGGCAAACTGCTCGTTGACCTGGATGAAATCAGGATTTCACCCTTGCTTTTTATAACGAAAGAACAATGTTCCAGCCTAACCAAAACATTTAATAATTTTTAAGGCTAAGATATCCCATGGAAACAGTTCCCTCCTTTATCTCCTCCTTCTCTGTCCAAATGTACAATTTTATTTTAAAGCCTCTGCAGGCTGCTGCAGCAATTTTGTAATTTGAGGCTAGGGGGAAGCTGAATTTTTCTAAAGGAATAAAGAACCAGTTTGATTAGAACATGGCAAACCTCCCAATAGCTCTTAAAATACATCTTTTGTGCAGTGTTTATAACACCTGTTGGGACAGCTGGCACCTTGTGGGTTTCTTTAGGTTTCTTTAAATCATTCTGATAACACTAAAAACATTGGTAACACTGAAAACCAGGGCTCAGACTTCAAGCCTTTTTTCACCTTTTCTTGCAATGAAGCACATTCATATTAAGGTTAATATCAGAGAGTGATGAAAATACACCTTAACCCTGGATTTGGTGGTGGTGGAATTGAATTAACTTTCATCCACAGTCTGGCTGGATGTGTGGGGTCAGTGTGGGAGTACTTCAGACTGAGCACTCAGCTGGAGAGCCTGGCTTTGGCAAGAATCAGTTCTGACCAGGCTGTGTCATTTCAGGAACAGACTGGACTCCATGTCCTTCCCATCTATGATGCAACACATGTTCTTCAGCCCCCAGAGGCCAGCAGGAAATACGTGAGGTATGTACAAAGGAAGGAAGGTGAAAGCAGACAGACAGAAATTTCATATATTCTAAAATCATGTCTGCTTCTGGAAACCAGGCTGTGAACTCCTATTTTTATCCAACCCGATGAAAGTGTATTCTTGATGAGGAACAGCCTCTAATGGGAGGGAGGGGACAGGCCCAGGGCAGGTTGTTATTAAGGCCAGTTTGGTTGGCAGCTGTAGAAGTAAACAGTCTGCTGCTCTTGGTTAACAAGCAGCAAATGGGGGGACTGAACAAATTCACAGATCATTAAACAAAGGGAAAGTTCACTTAACATCAAAGTGTGGTTTGGTGTTTAATTTGTACTTTAACAAAAGGGGGAAAAAAAGCTGAAACTAAATATTTCTGCAGGCCTTGTGCAGTCTCCATCAGACCTGCTTGGGAGCACAAGGGCCACAGGGTTTGTGTCACTCCTCATTCTGCAGGAACATCTCCCTCCTCAGACATCATTTATCTACCAAGCTCCACCTTTTCTTTAAAATCCTGTCATTTGGGGAGCTGGGGACATGTCTTTACAGCTCAGGCAAAGGGCTGCAGCCACTGGATTGATCCACATCCCCAGCCCAGCATCATGTCCCCTACCCAGCCCATTTCCCTCAGAAGGCAAGGCAAGCACTGCTGTTAGTCACACTTCCTGATTAGAATTTGGCAACGTCCTCGAAATTCTAAAAATCAAAGGTTAAACCAAATTGTGCAACTCACACAGGGCTGTTTATGGCTTCTGTGTGATTTGAATGTTATCCACATCACACAGGCACAGGCTGTGCTCTCCCCTGTGCAGGGCTGGATGGGAGTCCATAATCCTCACATTTCCCCATTCAAAATGGCAACAGCAATTCTGTAATATTCTCTTTTCTGCAGTCTAAAAGTGAAGAAAATTCATTATTTACATGCAGCATCAAACTTCCTCTTGATGTTACACAGGCATCTTCCTGCTGTCTCACTCCTACTAAAATCTCTCCCTCTGAGCCTCTGGTTCAACCCAGAGACTAACAAGGGGAGCAAGTGGTAAGTGTGATGTGTAACTCATAGAAAGACTGCTTAAAAAAAAGGTTTGCAATAAAAATGCTCTGGTACTTCAGAGAAAACAAAATATTTATTTTTATAGCTTCTTGTAATGCAAATGTTCTGTGCCAAAGCCCATGGAACCTTGTGTATTAATCACTCTGACTGTCCAGATTTTTATTTTAAGGCTTGGTCCCTTAGCTATTTGGAAAGAAGCACAAATATGTGATTTAAAGCAGGGGGGGTGGAGCACCTGCATACAACAAAGGATACAATTATATATTCTACAATTTAAAAAAGGAAAAGTGTAGACATTTGGTTTCCTCTCACCAATCACACATGTTCAGAAAGATGGCCATCTGATTACTTTGTGCTTTGAAATGACTAGAACAGCCTGTGCTGGCTTTTTTTGCTATTATTATTATCTTTTTTTCCTTCTCTCTCCTGCCTCTTGCTCATAACAGAGCTGTGGGAAATCATTCGAATAGAAATCCCAGCACTAGTAATAATCAAAGAACTATTCTGTTCTTAATTCAGGACCAAGTAAAAAAATCATTTGGTTTGTTTTTGGGGGTTTTTCGCCTGTTCTCTGCTTTAAATATAATGCACTGTGGCGTCCTCTGCCGCTCTGGTTCATTTTGGGGTAGGGGATGATGTAGGTGGTTTGTGGCAGGGGGGAGTAGGGGTTGTTCCTTCTGCACACCAGGACAGGGTCTCACAGGCAGTTTGAGCCAGCAGCAATGTTTTATCTTCCTCTCCCAGCAGCAGAATCACTGCAGGGATAGCTCAGGATGGCTCTGCTGGGCTTGGCAGGGTTGCTGCCCCAGCCTACCAAGGCCACTCTGTTTTGTCATGACTCATATTTCTCAGCTGACTCTTTTTTGACTGTCTTCTCTCCACTTCTTGAACCAAAAGTCACACTACTTAGTGGTTTTTAACTGGAATGTCACGTGTCATTTATGTTTTCTTTGCAAGAGTATTTGTGACTTTCTGTGACAAACAGAAGCCAAATAGGAGAATGGACTCTGTGTCTCTGCTCTTGTCATCAGCACCAGGTCCAGAAGGTTCTGCTGGAATAATTCTGCCCTATCATTTCTTAGATAGGATAGATTTGAGGCAGCTGCTATGGCTTGCAATGACGTTGAGAAACTATTTGTGTAAACTTTTGGGGCAAAATTTAGTCTGTTAGGTCTGGGTTTGGGGCCACTCCTTCATAATCCCATTCCCATTTCTAGTTCAGGAGTGTATTTAATATCTTTCAGCACATGCACAGCAGCCAGCCCTGGGGAATGAAGAGAATAATCATTGTGTTTTTACCCTCAGCTCCTTTTCAGAGCTAATAAATAAGTTAGCTGCTGGTTTGTGTACCGGTTTGGAAGCCAAAGGTGTATTTCATTGCTGTGGGTCATTAGCAAACATTACCCATTATCATAATTTGCTGTTTGTTTTCTCTCTGAAGCAAACGGATATAAATTGTTTAAAAGGGTAAACCTGCTCAAGAGAAAAGCATCCAGGCACCCAAACACCACTTGCTAGCAGTTAGGGAGATATTATTGAGACAAACAGGGTAAATGTAATTTTTAAACCATGCAGCTGCCAGTGATCACCGTGCTCTCCTGGAAAGGCAGCAGGGCCAGGCTGGGAATTGCCCACTGCTACATCAGATTGTTTATTTTGTCACTGCTGGTATTTTAAGTGAGCCTGCCTGCCTGCCTGCAGAACCTGGAGCCCTGGAGGCTCTGTGAGCCCAGTGCTGGCTGGGCACCCCAGGATGCTGCACTGGAGGAAGAGACAAAACCTCTGAAATCCCAAGGCCACCCTTGGCTTGACTGATTTCCATCGAGCATTGGAGCTGCTCTTTTACTGGACTTGTCTCAGATTTTGACATCCAGAAATCAGGTCTCAGATAAGTCTTGGGATGCGCTTGCATTTTCAGAATTGAAAAAGAAAGAATTGGTTTGTAAGTGAAATTTATCGGGTTTTCTCTGCTGTGGGAGAGATCAAAGCTTCTGGTTTGCTCTGAAAGAAAATATTTTTTTCTGTTTTTAAAGCAGCTTTGACTTCACGCTGCAGAGGCATCCCTGCTTTCAGGCAGCTGGCTGAAACTCTCTGGAGCTGTAGTGAGGTCACTGCCCCTGCTCTGATGCTGCTCCACATTTCTGCTCCCCAGTGCAGAGGGATAGAGCTACCCCTGGGAGACTGTCAGGAATGTTTACACAGTTTTAGCTGAACTGAGAAAAAGACAATAAACCAGCCTACA